GACTGTGCACACGTGTTTGAATGCATGTGGAAAAAACTGGACAGTGAAAAGTGAATGTAATGAGAGAGCTTTGCCTGCATAAAAATATAATCATGAAAACAGAGTTCTAATAAAGGTAAGAAGGATGGTATATGAAAACTGTAAAAATGAACGAAGAGATGCTGTTAGAAGCAAGAAAAAAAGACACCTTGTGTTGCTGGAGCTGCTAGTACCTGATGGTCAGGGGACTTACCTAAGTAAACTGACAATACTTGTATCTTGTCTAGGTACCACCAGACTACTGAACTGTTGAAACACCTGAGGTTTGATATCATCTTTGCTCTTACGTATTAGAGAGAGACACACACTTTGAGTTTATATTGGAATAAATATACATTGCAACATGTTGTTAAAACCATATCTAAGAACTTCTTTAATAAAGACCAGTATTGGGCTTTTTTAAAGTATACAGATAAAAGACAGCCTGCTTGTTTTCCTGGTGTTGGCCAGAAGAGCCAAAAATTATACTTTGCACTGTTGGCCTCTTTCATCTATCATTAGTAAATTGGTCAGATAATGATGGTTACCTCTTATAGGACCTGTCTTTAATCTTTGCAAAGACCAGTTTGAGGTCTTTGTCTGAAAGTTAAGTTGGGATCTCTGAATACACATAGCAAAGGAGCGTGAAGGTAATGTTTAAGTGATGCAAAAACTTTTAGGAATAATTTACAAATTAATGTTCCACAGCTCTTTTCCATTTTATTTACTCATGTGGTTTGTTAGGTCCCATCTGTAGTTGGTGTGCTTCATAAAGGTCTACTGACCAATGATACTTGTAAGTTAATGCCAAAGGAAAAAAATATTGGATAAAGGGTTTTTTTGATTCTCTTAAAAAATTAATTCCATCTGTAACTGTCCAGTGAAACTGAGTGTCATTTCTCTGTCCAATAGTATGGAATACACAAAATAGATGGTAGTTCATGGATTATGTGTATGGGGAAGAAAAAAGTAGTTAGAAATGGAACAACTTAAAACATCTGATCATCACTAAGTTAATATGATACCTGGTTTTTGATTTATTTTTATTTTCCTTCTGGATATATTCATACACAGTTTAAAATAAGCTACAGTTGCTACCTTTTTCTGACAGAGGACTCTAAAATAATAAACTTGTAGAGTTAATTTGTTTAAAAATAATGAACTGAAACTTTAATTGATAGTACCACTGTAATTTCAGTAATATATTTTAGGTTTTTGTTTTTCTCCTGGAGAAATTTGAGTAGGGCTCCCTGTCTGTGGGCTAAAATCTTAACTGTAAAGATGGGAAAAGGGGAGCCCTTCAAAATGGGCTGCAGAGGGGGAGAGAACTTTCCTAGGAAACATTTGGCTGAGCTCAGAGACTTAGAAATGACTGTGGTGCATGTTCTGGCTTATCATCCAGTATTCCTCTTGCCTGAAGAGTTTTCAAGCATGAGACAGAAGTTTTTTAAAAGCAGCTGACTACTCCACTGGTTTAACAGATGAATCCTTAAGAGCTGAAGTAAAATCAAAGTCACAAAGTTTGAATCTGGTTCCCAATTAAAAGCGTTTTTTTAGTATTTCCAACTGTACTAATGGACTAGAAGTAATAAAGAGAATTCAAGTAGGGTTCTGCTTTAGGGTTTCACTTGTTTCGAGTAAGATTTTTTAAAAAATGTGTTAACATTTTACAGTGGTTTAACCTGTCCTTTGATTGTAGTATAAAGCAAAGTAATGACACTGCACAGATTTGGCAGTCCACCTTCCAAATGTCTTTGCTGAGGACTTTGGCAAGCCGTAAATAAAGGGGTAGTCATGACTAACTGGAAAAAGATTCCTGTGTGCTTTTATAATGGTGAAAATATTTCAGCTGTTGGGAAGATGGTAAGACTAGGGGAGAAAGAAGTGCTAACCTGAGAGAAATTCAAGTGGCATACAATGCATGAGAGGCTTATGTAAAGTGAATGATTGAGTGGTCACTTGGAAAAATTGTTTGTTTTGGTCACTGGAAGTGCCCTTCCACTGTGCACAGACACACACCCCATCCTGGGTGACAGTAAAATGAGTCAATATCTAAAGAGCAGCTTGTTTGTGCAAGTCTCTTGATGGGGAGGAGAGGAGGGAAGAAGGCAAGGAGCGAGGACAGGTGATCTTGAGCCCCACTGAGTTAAGTGGAGAAGGAGCAGTGGTAGAAACATACAGGTGTGCTAGTTCAGACATGCCACAACTGGGAGAGTTAACACGGAGACAGAGCTCTTGGCACATGAGCAGGGGGATTTTTAGAGAGAAGACACACCCAGAGTTCCTCTTATGAGTAGATTAATGCATCGTGAACCTCCATTTGTATACTTCAGGGAAACAGGATTATACAACATCCTGAAGCAGTGTACTTTATTACCATTTTTCATAGTTTTTACAGCTACCTTTTAGCTTTGCAAATTCACATTTTTTAGCATTTGCAAAAGATTATTTGGCTTTGAAAATCCAGAAAAGTATTTGCATTGTCAAAAACTTGAAATATTAAATAAAAAAGCCTGACAACGTGACTTCCTTAATGTGTTTGGATGCCTCTTGTAGTGTGTTTTCTCAGTTTAAAAGTAACTGTCACATGTTCTGTAACTATGAGTTTTTATCAAGCTCTGTGCTGATCCATGTCTAGGAAATAAATGACTCTTGAGGTCAGTAGTGCTCACTATCTCCATGGAACATACCAGCTCTCCTGTCCTGAGTGAGTACTACAACAGATGGAGCCCAAAGTCATAGACCAAATGAACTCAATGAACTTTTTATGGATATTTAGGCACATTTTACTGACATTTTGCAGGGGAGGGGGCGGTTAATGGGTATGTGTTGCAATAGCATAGCATAAATGGTATGCAGTAATGGGTAGAGAATGTACTGGGTTCAGCTGGGATAGAGTTAAATTCTTCAGGGTAGCCTGTGTGGGACTGTGTTTTGGATTTGTGCTGAGAATAGTATTGTTAGTTACTGCCTGAGATGCTGTGCAAATTTTAGTTACCAGAACTTTATTCACTTAAGTTCCATTGGTTTGTCATTGACACACCTTCTGCTGGGGAGTCTTCTAATGTATATCCAGCCATACAGCAGCGGAGGGATTGGAGCACAGAGCCTCAAGTGTGTCCTTCAGGGGGTGAAAAAGTATCCTGTAGCTCACAGGTTTCACAGGAATGAAAACCCAGCATGTATATGCAGTGTTGCCACATTTGAATTCCTGTCATTTGGCCACATAATTGTTTTTTTGATCGTACGAGGAAAAAGCCTGCAAAATTCCTGGGAGAGCAAGGGTCAGAAAAGTGCAGCTTGTAACTGTGCCCTGATTCTTAAGGTGTAGCAGAAAGAGAACCACACACCAGATAAGCTCCTCTGGTGTGTCAGTTCATTCATTTGCTTCAGGTTGTACACACTTAAAGGAATAAATTCAAAGTCATGTTCCATAACCAACTTGGTATTATGTGTACACACACACACAATTAACTGTATGAAACTTACTAAAAAACAAAGTTAGCATTTAATTAAACTCATTCTTTCTAAAAGGTGCTTGGTCCAGTTTAAAGAATTAGAGCATTGTTCGTATTTCTCACGTAATGGGAAGGCTGGCTGTTTGAATAGACACTGTAATGGTAGATCTGTACCTGCTGCTATGTGGCACCAAATTTAATGCTGAACACTATCCTTAGCTGTGTGTTAGCAACTACTGAGAATTAGTTTTCTTTGAATATAAGAAATAGAAACAGTGAAGAACTTCAGTTGAAACTTTAATTCTAGGTTTCTTCTACTTAGATCTGCTAACAGATGGCTACTGATCTGAATCTGCCAGGCAGAATATTTACAATAGAAATAGGGTGTAACTGAAATCAGCATTCCTGGGCCTCAAAGAGCTTAGGAACCTATCCTGAATGTCGTGTACACACTGCAAAATGTTTGAGTCCATTACTTGAATGAGTTTCTCTTGTTAAATACAAACTGCTTACTTTTACATTTAAAAACCCTTCTAAACATGCCTTCCATGTTGCCTGGCATTCATTTCCAGGAATTTCTGAACAAAAAGCATTGAGGAATATGAAGGAAAGTCGTGGTCTTCATTGTGGAATTTCTGCATTTGCTAATGTGCCCTGGTTTATTAGGTTTAATCACCCATGTGTTGGGGACAGCTGCCTTTCTGTAAATCAGAAGCTATTCTTGGCTACTCTCTCAAAAAACAATGAAATATTGCTAAGATTGTCTTCAGTGTCACCTGTAAGAAAAGTTATTTTTTTAAAACTTATCTCTTCTATAAAGAACTTTAAAATAAATCTTATCTGCTCTCAAATAACAGCTGTTCAGGAAGAGGCTTTTTCCCTGGTTTTGGTGGAGGCTTCTGTCTTTGGGTTCACAGCTTATGCTATAATCTAAACCAATCATCTAGCCTCAAGCAGTGGAGACAAGCCAGAGTGTTTTGCTATGGCAGGAATGGAAGAGCCAAGGTCGCCTGCTAGAATATAGCTCCCTTTCCTCTCCTCTGAACACCACAGAATGGTAACTTGGACATGGTCCTTGACAGTATTCTTCTCATGTCAGAGGAGCTAGTGTGCAGTGTCAGTAAATTAAGTTCAGTAATGAAGCTGTAGAGGGCTGTGTGTTGATCTGCAGAAAGAGAGCTCTTCCTAGTGAAGCAGGAGGGCCTGCAGTTGTATGGCAACTCCCTCTGCAGCCCAGCTGTTGTTTACAGTGTGCGGGCTATGTATAACTACTACGGCCAGATCAGTCTTGGGGAGTAATACATGTTTAAACATATGTATGCCATTAGGTTAACGTAATATTCTTTCTTAAACCCTTTAACTAGCTTATTAATTTGAAAAAATACTGGATAGTCAGCTGTTGCATGTTCACAGTGAGACTCTTTGACCTGTTCTGTAAATGCAAAGAGGCTGTTACATTGTGTTTGACTGCCCCCCTCAAGGTATGGTTTTATGATATCTATTTGTGTATTGATTTCTAGGTTTCTTTATTCAGATGAGGTTCAAATTGGTCCAGAAACAGTCATGACTACTTTATACACTGCTAAAAAGTATGCAGTCCCAGCCCTGGAAGCACATTGTGTGGATTTTCTAACGAAGCATCTCCGAGCAGATAATGCCTTTATGCTGCTTACTCAAGTAGGTAAATTTAAGCTTAGTTTTGAGTTACTAAGAAAATTAAGTATTTGGAGGGAAATAATATTACTTCACAGGGGGTTTGCTGTCACATAGTCTAATCTATGTATGACAATGTCTTGTTGCTCTGTTAGCATTTCTACAGACGTAGCTTCATATTAATGTGGAGGAAAGGCTTTTTTTTTTTTAAATATGCAATGGAGTGGAGCCAATTTATTCTACCATGTGTTTGTGTGAAACTCTTGGCTGTTTTTTGTTAAGACTGTGGTTCACTTCACTATAGTGGATTTGATATGTGCTCTTTTAGTTATATGGCCAAAACTACAAATAAGCACAAAGGGAAACTTGCATTTTGTGAATTCTCCTTTGAGAATTTACATCTTTTTATTATTTTACATACTCCTTTGAGAATTTAAGCGCTCTTTAAGATATAAACACAGACAGTACTTAGACAAATAAACCTTTTTTAGTTTAGATCTACACTAGAGTAAAAATACCTGCTTTTTAAGATCAGTGGTTTGTCACATTTTGCTTAAGATGTATTTCTTCCTTTTCAGGCTCGCTTGTTTGATGAACCTCAGCTTGCTAGTCTTTGTCTTGACACAATAGACAAAAGTACTATGGATGCAATAAGTGCAGAAGGCTTTACTGATATTGATATAGGTAAGCTGCTTTGTGTGTCCTAAGCATTAAACTTCCAAAGAGAATTGTAGGGTGTGGGAAGACTGTTAAAATGATCAGTGCAAGTTTTATTACCCACCCGTGCAGTGCTGTTGTTTGAGCTTTGCTCCTGTTCAGTGTTCCACTGCATTGGGTCCCGTTTGATTAGTGTCGGTGTCCTGGGGCTCCCAGCATGGTAACACTATGCTTTTATTAAAGCCAAAGCTTTCACTGAGGGTTGTGCCTCATCCCTGAGGGATCCATGCCTGCTTTTCACATGTAACAGGAGTGGTACTGTTTTGTTGCCACATGGTACTTCACTATGCAGAGCTGCAAGATCAGGTACAGTTTATGACCTGTATTTAAAAAAATAAATACTTAAGGTGGTGGTTTCTGTGTTTCATCCTTTTATGAAAAGCTAGTAGTTGTCAATTTGTTTACTTAATTTCATTATTACCACATGTCTAAGATTGAACTCCAGCTAGACTGAACAACTCAGACTGAAGGAAGGTCTTCCAGCCGCTTAAAGAAACTGTGAAATCACTGTTAACTCTTGTTCAGTGGGATTTGTACCCAGACTCTGAGTGTTCATCTCTACTCTTGAGAAGCCCCAATCTGTTTTGACTTTCTAGTGTTATGTCTAGTCATAGATATTTCTATGACCACAAACATACCTTGCTTAAATTCAGGCCATATAAAAATTCCAAAAGAAGGCAGAGGATTCAGAATATTAAAACAATTTTTCAGGCTTGTGTTCTATGACACACTGAGAATTTTTGCATACCTCTTATTCATATACCAGAATTTGTAATAAATACAGGAAAACTTGCTTTTGTAAAACATGTGAGAGTAACTTGCCTCACATCCTGTGTTCTACCTTCAAGCTCTGTGGGTGCCAAATATGTCAATGTTTAAGATGACTTCCGTGTGTCTTTAAAGTCATTTTGAGTGCACCACTGCTTCTTGTGTCTGTAGTTTATCCAGGTTAGCCAGTGGCAACTTGGATGAGAACCTGACAATGTCGCTGTGAATAACCTGGGTTTTCAGTAGTGTGCACTCACCACTTGGTCACTTCCAGTTTTGAGCTTGCCCTAGCCATGGAAATTCTGTAGGATTTTGGTTGTCACTACACAGATTATATATAGTCACACTTCTAAGAATCAAGAAGAAAGTTCGTGTGGAACAGGAAACTGGTCTTCAGTTTGAGTCTATACAGCACTGGGAGATTTCTTTATACATCAGATTAGTTGTCTTTGTCTTATTATGAATGTTCTTCATGGTTACTTAACATTTGAAGCTTAGTTAATGTGTAGCACTGTTACCAGTTTGGATGAAAAGTGATCTATGTTAATTCTTTCTTCTTTAGACACTTTATGTGCAGTTCTAGAAAGGGATACCCTTAGTATTCGGGAAAGCAGGCTCTTCGGAGCTGTTGTCCGCTGGGCTGAAGCAGAATGTCAGAGACAACAACTGCCTGTGACATTTGGAAACAAACAAAAAGTCCTTGGAAGAGCTCTTTCCTTAATCCGTTTCCCATTAATGACTATTGAAGAGTTTGCAGCAGGTGAGTTTTGGGGTCCTTGGTCTTACTGTTAGACAGTATCTCGGCACTACTCACCTGTGAGCAGTTAGGTGCTTAGCACCCTATTTAATAACACCGTTTTAATAACACTGTTATTAATGTCATACTAATAAAAGTTGTGATGCACAAATGAAAGCAAAACGTTCTTCAGAATACACTCTGGTCATTGGAAAATATTATTGTAACCTTCAGCTTGCAAATATGTGTGGTATAAATGCAACAGTTGAGTAATTCAGATGATCTCAGAAGTGTTTTTTCTTTTCACAGGCCCTGCTCAATCTGGAATCTTGTCAGATCGGGAAGTAGTAAATCTCTTTCTGCATTTTACTGTCAATCCTAAACCTAAAGTAGATTATATTGACCGACCAAGATGCTGCCTTAGAGGAAAAGAATGTAGCATTAACAGGTTCCAGCAAGTGGAGAGTCGCTGGGGCTACAGTGGAACCAGTGATCGGATTAGGTATGGCTTTTGAAACTATCTGGAGGAGAGAGGGAGAAGTGTGGAAAGAAAGGGAACATATTACTCAACTTCAGCATTTTTCTATAAGATACAGTAACAAACCTGCTGGTTCTGTTTGGACATGTTTGATCTTTTACTTTTTTTAAAAAAAAGGTAGATTATGTGCTGTTGTGCACAAAAAATACAAAGTAGCAAAGAACAACGTTGAGGAGGATGGGGTGCATTCTAGAGTATTTGGGTGTTAGCTGTATTAGCTTTTTAAAATACCAATTCTTGATCTGTTTTTATTTTGGAGGTTATTTGAGAATCTGGTTACTTTTGTGTAGTGATACTGGATATCTTGAGGGTATAGAAAGCTTTAACCTATGAAGCTGATATGTTACCTAGCATTATTTACTACTGAAATCTAGATAGGAAGTATTATTGAAAAAAAATTTAATGTCATTTTCAGTTTACTGCTCTACTCTTTAGTGGGAGTCTTTTTGCTGCTTGACTGGGAATAAGGTAATAAACCCATCAGTTGTTTAAATTCCTTTCTTGGCTTGTGTCTTACTAGGTTCACAGTTAATAGAAGAATTTCCATAGTGGGATTTGGATTATATGGATCTATTCATGGACCCACAGACTATCAAGTGAATATACAGGTAGGGTATGTTCTGTTTCAGTAGGTTTATAGAGAAACTACACTTGTACTTGCAAAAGGTTTGGCATATATTTGGATAGGTGGAGTTGACAGGCCAGGAATCTAACCTGTCTTTCGTCCCCAGCAGTGGTCATTACCAGGTGACTAGGGAAAAGTAATAATAATATGAATCTTTTCCCCCTCTGCTGTATTCTCCTGTCCTTCAATCATTTTCAGTATAAGCATTTCTGAGATGAGTTTGGTTTCTCTATTTAGTAGCTCCTGGTGAATCTTTCTTCAAGATACTTATCTAGTCTAACCTTGAATTACCATAAGCTTTCTGCAGAGGATTTTCATAGCTTTGTAATCTGTTCAGTTGTGCACAAAATCTGTCCTTTATAATACATTTTCTCGTAGTTTGGGACAGAGGTCTTGGATTTGTCGGGAACAGCTCTCTGAAATCAGCAACACAACATGTAGTGGCTGCTAGAAAAGCCCACTGTGTCATCAGGAAGGTACTGAAAGCAAGATAAAAAGTGACATTCTGTTGCTGTAGGAAAGCCGCATCTTGAATATTGCGTGCAGTTCCCAATCTCACACAGTAGAGTTAGAAGGTAGAGAAAAAGGTAATTAAAAGTGAGAGGGGATAGAGGTGCTACTTTATGAAGGGAAACCAAAAAGGCTAGGACTCTTCAGTTTGCAAGGGAGAATCATAGGATCATTAAGATTGGAAAAGATCTCTAAGATTATCAAGTCCAAACATCACCCAACACTACCATGACCATTAAACCATGTCCCCAAGTGCCACATCTACATGTTATTTGAACACCTCCAGGGATGGTGACTCTACCACCTCCCTGGGCAGCCTGTTCCAGTGTTCTACAGTCAAGAACTTCTTCCTAATATCCAATCTAAACCTCCCCTGGCACAACTTGAGGCCATTTCCTCTTGTCCTTTTGCTAGTAACCTTGGAGAAGAGACCAACACCCACCGCACTACAACCTCCTTTCAGGTAGTTGTAGAGAGCAATAGGGTCTCCCCTCTGCCTCCCCTCCTCCAGGCTAAACTACCCCAGTTCCCTCAGCTGCTCCTCATAAGACATGTTCCCCAGACCCTTCATTAGCTGCTTTGCCCTTCTCTGGACCTGGTCCAGCACCTCATGTCCTTCTTATACTGTGGTGCCCAAAACTGAGCACAGTACTCAAACTGTGGCCTCACCAGTGCTGAGTACAAGGGCACAGTCACTTCCCTACTTCTGCTGGCCACACTATTTCTGATACAGGCCAGGATGCTGTTGTCCTTCTTGGCCACCTGGGCACACTGCTGGCTCATGTTCAGTTGACTGTTCACCAGTACCCCCAGGTCCTGTTCTGCCAGGCAGCTTTCCAGCCACTCCTCCCCAAGCCTGTAGCATTGCCTGGGGTTGTTGTGACCCAAGTGTAAGACCCGGTACTTTGCCTCATTGAACCTCATGCAATTGACCTTGGCCCATCAGTTCAACCTGTCCAGATCCTTTCAATCAAGTGCTGCAGCACCCTGAAGTCCTTTTTGATCGCTTTTGGACTTCTGTCCACAACCTCATGGCTGCCAACCTGCAGCTGAGAAGGCTGTAGGGAGGTGTGAGCAATACTTCTAAAATCCTGAGGGCAATGGATAAGGCAAGTGCAGAACTGTTTATTCACCAATCTCCAGAATATTAGGACTAGGAGGCTCTTAATGATACTAGCAGAAGATCAAAACAGATAAGAGTATTTTTTCAAGGCAGAGGACACTAAGCATACTGCCACAGGAAACATATATCCTGTTTTAAATTTGGTGGTATTTTCGCATGTTCATTCATCAATTGGAATATTCTAGAAGAAACAGAAGGGAGATATGCACTGTAGCACCCCTGGCAGAACAGTTGTGAATGCTGAAGGAATGGACAACAGATCCCAGACTTGTGTGCTAAGCTTGAGCAAAATCTTCTTTTGCCTCTGTGGGAGCATATTGGGCCACTTGTCTGACCCAGGGGGTGTTTGTTACATTCTTAGCTTGCCTGATACACATAGTGGGGCTTAGAGGCTTGTGCTTGCCCAGAGCTATTTCAAAAAATTGACATCTTATTTACTACTAGTTCAGCCTTAGGCAGAACATTGTGTGCTACTGTTACCATAACTTCTTCTGTGAAGTTACTTCCATGTTAGGCTTGCTGAAAACATTGTCCCAGCATGGGAATCACCCCATTTTCTTCTTCTGCTGATAAACAATTTAGTTGTGTTGTTCCTCTCCAGGCTCCTACATGAAGACGTTATCCTGCTGCTGCTCATTTTCTGTCTGCACCCTGTTTGGCCCACCAGAGAGTCTATAGGACTCTTTGCTGCTGCTGTGTTGAGAGAACGATTTAACAGTGGTTTGGATGCTTTCAGATAGCTGTTCCTAAACCTTCCTTTGGCCTGCTTATTCTGTTTTTTACATTTTAACCTGGCAGTTTGAACCTTTCTATTTTAATCTGGGTACAACTTAATGTTTCTATAGGATGTCCTTTTACGTTTATGTCTAATAATAGCTTTTTGCTGATAAGCCATGCCAGCTTTTTTCCCCTTTTCTCAAGCTTTTCCTAGCAGGGGATATGTACCAATACTGTACTTGGGCATGTGATGTCCTTCAGTAGTCTGCATGCTTCTTACAGGGATCTGATTTTCTTAGTTGCTTCTTTTGAACAAGCTTCCTCATTTTTCTCTTTTTGAACTTTAGCACTGCCGTGGTGGGTTTGCTCTTGTTGTTCACGTGGGAGTATTGACTCTAAGTATATTATGAACACTGTTACATTGTGTTTCCATTATGAAATTTTGAATCTGATCCTGCTCATCAGTCAGTACCAAATCCAGGGTTGCGTTTCTTCCTACTGAGCAATTGGTGGGCAAGCTCATGAAATGGTCAGTGATAGCATCTAAAAATGTCACCCTTGCTTCATGTCCTGATATGACACTTGTCCAGTCTGAGCAGGTAATTGAATACACCACTAAAACTTTCTCCTGCTCTTGTAGCTTGTTTGACGTCTTCTAGCATATTGTGTGGTCAGGATTGTCTTCCAGTAATATTGAGCCAGCACTGTCTTTTTTCCTTTTAAACACGGAATTTCAGTCCATTTGAATTCTCTTTCTTACTGAGGTTAGTTTTGATTTAATCCTAAGATTTCTAACAAGGTACTAGCATTCCATGACTGGCATACTTTTGCCCTGTGCTGTGTATTTTGTAAGCTGGTACTATCACATCACATTGATAGGAAATTTTGTGAAAGAAAGAAATCTGTGACTTCATTTAGGGACAGAAATTCCACTGTCCCTATTTTATTTTGTAGACCTCTAGCATGTACTGGAACTGCTGTTTTGATTAATTTCTGGGCATCCTGTTTAAATGACAATTTGTCTTCTGTTTCCTATTTAATGATTACTGTTGTACTTAAGGATAGGAATTTTGTTTCTGTCTCTTAAGAAAAAAATTCTATCTTTCCTTTTATGATGTTCCAAGCAGAATGTGTCTGGAATGAGGTTTTGAAGGAATTTGCTGGCTTTTCCACATTCCTCTGTTTAAAAGCTCACTTGCAAGTGTCTTGATCTGAAGTGCCATCAGTTTGGTTTTCTCAAACTACACATCTATGTAAATGAGTAGCACAGTGCACTAGATTTGATCTTTAGATCAAAAGAGTTGGCACTGAGGACCTAGAAGCTATACTGTACATATTTGGGGATTCTTATTTTGCATTAACTCATTTGATCCTCAAAGCTAAATTCCTGTTAGCAGATGAGAGCATTTGGTGTGCTCCCTCAGCATGTTTGCTGGATTTATTTTCCATGATCTACATGGAAATGCTGATGTGCCTTTATAGTTCACATGAAGGCCATCCATCTTACATGGGTCCTCTTTATACTGGAAGTATCCCCCATTTCTGGTGAATCTGAAACTGTTTTGTCACAGTCTTTTCAGAGAGGTATTTAAGTCCTGTGTCTTTACCTTTGTTCTTGGTCCTGCATGAGTGTTACTAGCAGAGCATTTAAAATAGTGCTCATGCATATTGCAAATGCTTCTTTTATGGCTTAGGATTTCAGTGTTAGAATTGTTAATATTTCTATTGATTGTGGCTGAGGAAAAAAGTTAGAACACGTTTTCTCTAGAACAGGGCTGCAGTATTAAAAATTATATGGTAATTTAATAATAAAACATTAAAATTGATAGGATTCTTGTTAGCGCAGTAATAATTAGAAGTATTTGTGGTACTCTAAAGCTCTGATATCCTACTTCTCCAAGAGGAGTTTGGCAGCAGGGATCAGGATTGCTATCCCACATGAGAAGTGAGGTATCTGCTATTACCACATCTTAGCTGGTGATTCCTCTTTGCCATTAAAACTGAAGGCAAAAGAAATACTATGTAGTCTAATTTTTATACTGAACCTAGAAATAAATTATATAAAATATAGCTGCACAGGTTCTTGTTTTCTTTTAAGAGTGTGTCATTGACTGCTTATCTTACCTGTAGATTGACTGCTTATCTTACCTGTAGATTGACTGCTTATCTTACCTGTAGCAACTTGTTTTCTGAATAGCCACAGCCAGCGAGCGTGCTTCCCGCATGTGGGCTGTGCACGTGCACGACCACAGCAAGTCTAAGTGCGTTTATATGCAGTATGTGAAGCTCAGCAGCAGGAGGTCTAAAGAGTCTCTCCCAAGCAAAGACTACACCAGGTTGGAGCAGTGTTGAATCTAGACCACAGACTCAGGGACAGCCTGTGTAAAGCTCACAAGCCGTTGCTCAGCACGCTGTGCTGGGAAATGGCACCGATTGCCCAGCTCTGAGATTGCACTGCCCTTGCAATGGAACTGGGTGGAGCAGGCAAGTGTGTGCTTGTAATCTTCTAATGTGCATACAGAAGAACTTTTCTCAAGCTTGTAAACCTAAAAATACTGTTTTCATGTTTTTGTGCAGATAATTGATTATGAGAAGAATCAAACACTAGGACAAAACGATACTGGATTTAGTTGTGATGGAACAGCCAGTACCTTCAGAGTTATGTTCAAAGAGCCTATAGAGATTTTGCCAACTGTTTGCTACACAGCTTGTGCAACACTGAAAGTAAGAATGCCTAACAGTACAGAAGAAAATGTTATTTTGATACAATGTTCTTTTATCTGTCTTCTGATGAAAAGGCATCTGCTAGACCTTGAATTTATTTTGTTTAGTGCTAACCTACATCCTCCTTTGACTCCACAGTAACTTGTACAATGGCTACCTCTCTTTTGTGCCACAGCAGAGAATTCATAGCTGGATCCTTTGTGCCTTCCCACTTTAACTTTTTAACTTAAGAGTCAGAATGAGTTTTAATGGAAGTCACTGGTTCTTTGTGGGCAAAAGCACTATTTAGAATATTTAATCTGGCAGCTCTCTATCAAAATTTGCTTGATTTCTTTTATCAGGGATATTGTAACCACTAGCTAGAGTCAAGAAAGTGGAGAGGTTTTGGTTTTTTTTTTTTAACTTTTCACACACTAGTACTGAAATAGAGGCAAGAATTACTTGTTGTAGTAAAGTTAAATATTCTTCTCAAAAATCTTTTAATATTCTTTTAAATATAATTAGGGTTTTTAATAAGTGGGTTGGAATAAGGTTGTTGCACAATAAAAGAAGTTGAGGCAGGGAACAAAGGGAATATAGGTAAGCTGTATGACAAAGAGAAATACTAGAAAATAGTTACTCATCACTGTTTGGATAAATCCAAGTGTTTTAGGTCTGCTGTCAGAGAAACTAATTTTTTGTTATTTAGTCATAGGGCACTTGCTTCTGTTGTTATATACAAAAATTGCAGACATGATGTGGGTACAGAAATTTTATGCTATTTAAAATTAACCTAAGTCAATAGCTTTTGAACTTCAACACTTTATGGGTCTTGCTGCCCACTTCCATTCAGTTGCTGATCTCTTCTGATGTTTTTCAGGGTCCCGATTCCCATTATGGAACAAAAGGTTTGAAGAAAGTGATCCACGAATCTCCTACTGCTAGCAAAACTTGCTTTGTCTTTTATAGCTCACCAGGTAACAACAATGGTACATCAATAGAAGATGGACAGATACCAGAAATAATATTTTATACATAGTTTCAGATGATCACATTGAATATGTCAGCGTATTAGTGAAGTTCAGCTCATTATTGGCAGCAGCTAAACAATTCTGTGAAATTACATTAGTGTGCAAAGACAAAACTAACTTGTTGAGAGGTACCAGAAGAGCTATTTTCTCTGCGCTCTTAATTGGCAGAATGTTAAAAAATGGCTTTTCCTCGTAACAAAACATCAAGTAGAATAAGTACTCTATATATTGAAGATATTGTTTTAACTAGTATCTTGTGATTGATTTGTATTTTCACCCCTTTGTTTATCGTGTAGTAAAATCCATTTTTTTGAACTGGAAAATCCTTTACTCATTATGAACTTATTTGGTGTGTTTTCCCCAACCTGTCCTAAAGTGACAGTAAAGCTGCTGCTGTAGTCCCAGTTTACACTTCTTTCCAAAATGACCTTGGATTCACCCTGTGGACCTGAGTTGCTATTATATTTTTTTGAAGTACATCGGCAAAGCTGGATTCATATCTTGACTTTCTGGATGAGCCATGGAGAATCAATGGACTTAGCACTGCAGCCAGCAGCTGCAGTTGCACTGAAGATTCAGTCAAATTCAGCAACAAATATCTTTCCAGAATCTCTCTTTAGTTCAGAAGGGCTGTTTTGGAACATAAAGCTGGTTATGGAATAGCCACTGTATATACATATGTGCCTATAAGAAAATGTATAATGTGAAAATGAGAATACAAGACTTGTAATGATGTTATTTTATCAGACATTCTAATACTAAAAAGTGGTATGAACTAAGGATTATTTGTCTGCAACTCGTTCTACAGATTGCACACGCTGATGGTGCAATAGATGTATGTATATAATATCCAGTCTCTTACGAACGTCTTCATGTACAAAATCCTGTGCTCTCCCCCAAACTGTACTAAAGTAGTCATTTGAGAACACAAGCGGAAAAAAACCACCTCTTTTCTCTGCCCTCGTGTCTGTAACCGCGCGCTGCGGTGCGGGTCTCGGAGCGCAGCCTATGTAACACGAGCCGCGTGTTTCAGGCGCCCTCTCCGGGGCTCTGTGATCGGCCCCCTTCCCGCTCCTCCGTTGCCCTGAACGCGGGTTTCCGGGCGGCTGCCAGGGCGAGCCGGGAG